CTGACGAGGAGAAAAAAGTTAGGGGCAAGCAAGCATATCCTAGGTGGCTGCGAGCCAGGCACGTCTAAGGGGAGGAAGGCGGGACATCCTCTGAGGAAGCCCCTCGTTTGTGTGACGTCACGGAGAGGCGGGGCCTCTTTCAGCCTGGGCGGGGCTTCTGGCGGTGTTGTGGGGTTAGTGTGGAGGCCGCTCGCCTGTGGGTTGTGAGACGGGGGACAGGAATTGGGTTTCCTTTTTGTGCAGGAAGCACAAACGAGCCTCTCTCACGTTCTCTCCTAATAGGGCAAAGGGGGTGGCGTTCAAGGTTAGCGGTTTCTAGAGCCGACCGCGAAGGGGCTCTGGAGCTCCGTTTCCCGCGCTTCTCTCTGCCCGCCAGGATAATCCCGCCTCACGCACCTTTCCTTCCAGCTGGATTCGCTTGTCTGATTTTGGGGTCGCATTGGCCAACGTTGCCGCACACCCCGGGGAGGGAGGAGGACGCTTTACTTGAAAGGGGTAAAGACGGACTGATGGAAGAAGAAGGACGCAGTCATCCTACGTGAACGTTGCAGAAGGAAATCTGAACCTCCCGGTTCAGGTGCAAAATAAAACATTCATGAAAGCAAAGATTGCCTTGATTGACATTTTAGATTTTCATAAGGTGTAGAGATTCAGAAATGGCATCTTTGTACAAACCTAATGGAATACGTTCTGGAGCGTCATAAATGCCACGGCAGGTGGATTTGACAAGCAGGAGGTAGATGGCACCCGTCGGTGTCAATTCTTCAACCCCCGTTTACTGCTGATCATGTAGCACTTTGACCCCTTTGTTTTCAAGAATATTTGTTTTCTGGGATTGTGAATTGTCACCACGTATCACGTTTACGCTGGTTTGAGTCTTGTAGGAAGGATTTTGCTTGCTTTAGTTGTCATTGCAACGCAAGGAAGGCCTTGTCTTCTGTGCACTTCGGCGACTCCACCTGAAAGCCCTTCTCAGGCACTGAAAATGCTGTAGTCAAACTAACTCTTGGTGTTGGAAACGTGTGTAGTCGTTCAGTTTTATCCTAATTCCTTCACTTTGTGCTAATTACCTACAAAAAGTCAAGTTATTTTACTATTTATTTTCTGTTGACTGCTTCTTGACTGTTTCCAGTGGAGAACCACTCAAGTAAGAAAAGTGTGAATTGCTGCAGTGGGTGTCCCCTGGGCATGGGACAAAGAATAAGTAAGCAAGACATTTCTTTGAAGTCTCATATTTTATCTTGGAAAATATGACTTACTGCATTTTACTTAATGATACATCCATTTATTTTAATGTAAAAGTGATACTCTCTCATCCAAAAAGAAAAAAATCTTCGAACAAACCTGTTTAAAGGGTCGCCTGCGTGGCTTAGTTAAGTGTCTCCTTCGGCTCAGGTCATGATCTTGGAGTCCTGGGATGGAGTCCACATGGGGCTCCCTGCTCAGCGGGGAGTCTGCTTCTCCTTCTGCCTGCCCCTCCCCCTGCTTGTGCTCTCTTTCTCTGACAAATAAATAAAAAAAAAAATTTTTTTTTAAATCTTTTCCCTGTACTTTTGTCTCTAGAAAGCCCCTGGTGCTCTTCTTCTTTATCGCCAGGGAAGTCTCAACTACTGTTTGATAAGAATTGGTACTCATTCAGTATGTTTTTTGAAATTAATTTTAGCACTGTAACAGGATAATTACTATATTCAGCATCTATTACCAGCTTGTCACATTTTAAAGAAGAACACTACGGCTTGAAAAAGTATTGCTCCAACCAGGAATCTTTTAGAATATAGCTGGTTCTAGAATGAAAGCCATAGTGTAAACAACATAAACATAAAGTGGTGTACTTTTTCTAACTGTTAGAAATTACTGGAACCAATTAGAGCTCGAAAGACCTTAAAGAGCATTTATCCAGGTAATCCCAATCTAAGGGAGTTTATGGGTAAGTTTTGAAGGCTTTGAATCCCCTGAAATTATATGCAAAATTGTGTATGTACATTTTTGGAGGAGAGCACTGATAAAAAGTTCATTACATTTTCAGAAGGATTAGTGCCTCTACAGTTAAAATGCACTCATCCAGTATGAGGTTATAAATGTGAAATTGGTCTAGAAAAGTAACTTTCAAAACCACACAGCTAAGTAACAGGCCCAGTGCTGCTGCTTTTTATATTTCCTTGGGCTTAAACTTTCTTTTTAACGAAGAAAACAGTTTTTTACTCTCTAAAGAAAAACAATACAAAATTACATACTTGTTCAACTGGATTCAAACTGAGCATACTTCCTGCAAACCTCCTGTTTTTTTAACGCAGGATGCAAAAAACCATTTAATCCCATTCTTGTGAAAACTACAGTTGCCAAGAAACAACCAACCGTTAAAAGTTCATTAACGCTAAAGCACAACAGGATTTTTATTGTTGTTTTGCTTTTAAATTATTGATTGAGAAGCTTTCTACACTGAGCCATGCATTGATTTATTCATTCATTCAGCAAATATTTATTGAGTGCCTGGCTTTGTTTGGTTGGCTAAAGAAAAAACAGCTAGTTTGTTTTGGGAGTGGAGGGAGGCAGCAGTTGGTAAGATGGATATACTGGGCTAAAAGCAGGAGATAGCAGAGAAAAATCAGGCTTGTTTAGAAATATGAGAGTCTAATATTCCTCCTCAGTTACCCGCCTTTCTCACTGTGGCAGGTAGCAAGTCTCAACTTTTAGGAAGACAGAGGTACATGTGGATATTCCCAGAGGATTTTGGTCTCTTTTGCACATAGAGCTAAGGGAAGCTAAGAGTGGGTTACCGCCCCTGGACACTGGCCAATTGTCTGCCTTGGGATAAATTTGCTTCACCTGCTTCATGGGAATAATGCAGGTGAAATATGATAAGTTGGCATTTAGGGCTTTTAAGAGAACAAAACATTTAAGAACCCCTCCTTGTCACTGTCATCAACAAAGCCCCTGAATGTCCTTCTCTGGAGCTTTGCTCAGGGTCCTCTGTACCCAGCTCCCACCATCATGCTGGGTGATTTCAACATGCAACATTGACATCCCTTCCTCAGCCTCCTTACCACGTTCTTATCAACGTCTAGCCTCTGCTTTCCTTTCTAACTACAGCTTGATCTCTCACCCATTCAGAGCAAAAATTGTGATTTTCCTTTTATAAAATACAGCCCTAAAATGAGAGAAGGAACAAAAAACTATTAAAGTTTGACAAAAAGAATCCTTAACTGGTATGTTTTATTTGATGGCCAAGCTGCTATAGTAGTTAAGAATTGTGTTTAACTTCATACAGTAACCTAAAATAGCTGTGGCTTAACCAAGACATTGATCTCTTAAGAGAAATCTAGAGGTAGCCAGGCTAGTGCTGGTACAAGGAGTCCACAGTCACCAGAGACCCAGACCCGTTTTCTCTTTCAGATCCTATGTTCTTGTGCATGACTTCCTCCATGATGTCACCTCATAGGCCAAAATATGTGCAGAGTTTGGGTTCCAGCCATCATATCTGATCTCAGCACTCTGGGGAAAGGGTGGAGGACAACAGGCCTCCTTCCAGCTAAACAAACTCCCTTGGCCCACACAGCTTTCCTCAACCCCCTTAAAATAGTTCTATTTACATCTTACTAGCCAGACTTTGGCCAGTTGAGCGCATCTACCTGTGCAGGGAGAGCTAAGAAATGTCTTTTAGTGAAGCCTATCTCTGCCCCCCAAATAAAGTCAGGGTTCTGTTATTAAGGAAGAAAAAGAAACTGAATAGTGGGTGGTGCCTAGCAACGTGTTCCACAGCTGTTCATCAATACCATCTCCCAGGAAGCATGGGGAGATCTAGAGACTCCACCGTGCTTTGTGTAAGGAGGCGTTCAGTAAATAATGGGTGAATGAATGATTTGAATTCATGCTGATTATTTTTTACATTCCAGGTAAATATAGACTACACCAAGCACTTTTTTTTTTTAAGATTTTATTTATTTATTTGACAAAGAGCAAGAGAGGGAACACAAGCAGTCTCCCCGCTGAGCAGGGAGCCTGATGCAGGGCTCGATCCCAGGACCCTGAGATCATGACCTGAGCCAAAGGCAGACACTTAACGACTGAGCCACTCAGGCACCCCATAGAGCAAGCACTTATTAATAAGCTTCAGGGAAATGGCCAGAACTGAAGTGCCCCTATTTGGACTCAAAAGTTACCTTCTTACATTTTGACACTTTGTGTAGGCTTGCTACTTAGAAAAACAGAATCTGAGTGAGGTCTAATCCAAATCTACTGAATCTGGACCCACCTTTTAAATAACATGCTGAAGTAATTCTTATGCACGTTGAAATTTGGGAAGGCATGCTTTATTGTGTTTTTAAAACTGATACTGAACCACAGAAAAATTTCCTTAAAACATCTTCTTGTACCAGCTTTAAGGGGGTGGGGGGGGCGTTTGGGGGGGGGGGGGGGTGGGGGTGTGTGTGGGTGTGTGTGTGTGTGTTTTCCTTCAACTTCTTTCCCCCAGCTGGTCAGCGTAATGATTTCAACCTGTAGAGGCTATAAAAAAGTCCACTAATTGCTGGTTCGAATAATTAGCAGATAACTGAACTGAGGAAGGAAACAGCAGTTTGTGGTCTCTGTCGTAAGGTTTTAGTTATTTCAAGTGACTCAGTTATTGTAGGGGGTGGGATGGAAACTTCAGTCAGTCCCTCAAACACATACTCCTGTCTGTCCCCACTGGCTTCCGGCTACCTTCCCTGGGGCCAGCATTTGGTAGAGGGGGGCTAGCAGGCTTAAAGCCAGCCCCTTAGTTTGCAGAAGTCCCCCCAGGTGACCCCTGTGGACTCCTGCTCCAACCACACCTTAACCCCATTGTAATGAAAGTCAAGCAATTCATTGCCTAGCAGGAATTGTCACTAAGTGTAATTACTATTCTTAGGCAGTTGTGAGACGTATTTGCTGGCGTGAGAGGTGTTAGCCCCCTGACCTGGAATTTCTGATACCAGAATAAAAACTGTAGAGACTTGGTCTCATTCTGCCAAGTTTCTGGATAAATGGCGGGGCAGGAGAGTTTTGCAGGTTTTGGCATAGCTCAACAAAATCATTATTACTGGTACTGGCAAAGGTAAGCTGTTTTTTTCCTACTCCGAATGAAAATGAAGGCCATCCGTGCTCTATTTCTGACCTGATTTTTGGCAACTTACCAACTATTGCTTTGGAAATAGGTGTTTTTAAACAGTTAACGCAGAAATCATCCTTACCCTTACCCCTTAGCCTCCCCGGGAAAGAAGAAAGAGTCCTGGGGTTCTGAATGATTCTGCCTTAGTTGGTGAGGTCATTCCTGTTGTACCCTCTCCACTACTAGGGGGAAGCCAGTGTTCCAACCCTGCCAAGCTTACCACTCCGGCAACTGGTTTGAACAACAGCACAGCGGTTACTCCCTTTCTGTCTCCACCTGTGGCTGTGCAGCAGCTGGAAATGGACTCGACCTTTCTGTGTGGGAGACCTCTGGACCCCCAGCTGAAACTCTGGTCCCTCCTAAGGTATCCTTCCCTGAAATGATTCCTAGATCATCCGCGTGCCCAACATAGAAGCATCTTTTTCCTGTCTTCACGCCTCCAGATGCTCTCATTCCAATTCCCACAGCTGTGGCTTTTGCTCCCCATTTTAATACCAGAGAGTAAAAGCTGATGACTGAAGAAATTCGGCGAACAATTTAAGTCATTACTATCTTCCAAAAACAAAATCCTAGGCTGATGACGTCTGTGCCTAAATTCTTACTACTAAATTTTAGATGACCATTCACTTGATTTTACTCTTAAAATAGGACTGGAGGTAGTTTTGTTTTGCAGTAGCAGAAAACATTAACACGCTTTTCAAAAATATTCTAATATTTTGGTTACTAAAGTAAGCTATTTCTGAAATCACACAGAGGGACTAGAGTAAGGTAAAGCTTTCCCCCATCCCTTCCCTCTTCCGCATCTCCTCCCCATTTAGAAGAAAGTCCTGTTCAAGTGCATCTACGTCCTCTAGATTTTTCCCTTCTCTTCCTAAATCAGCGTGATTAGGCTTTATTTTTGTTTAGGGAGTTGGGGGAGACTTGAGCAAGAACAGACTGAGTAGTACTGGTTTACTCTTTGCTTCTGCTTATAGGTTGCATTAGATGTCCCGCGCCCACCCCCCACCCACCCAGTTCACCCTTTTAATAAAGAGCATTCTTTAAAAGTTGCCCATTTGGTTGTGCTGTGCTATTAGCTCATCCCTTATTGACTAACATTTTGAATGTTCTCAGTGCTTTAACGAACTTTTACCTATCTCCAAGTATTTGAGTGATTTTTGGCTAAGAATAAATGTCTAGATGGGCGCATGGTGGCTTAGTCCGTTAAGCGTCCTGACTCTTGATTTCGGCTCAGGTCATGATCTCAGGGTGGTGAGATGGAGCCCCGTGTTGGACTCTGGGCTTAGCGAGGAGTCTGCTGGAAATGTCCTCTCCCTCTCCCCTCCCCCTGCTTGCACACTCACTCATGCACACACACTCTCAAATAAATCTTAAATTTTGGAAGTGGAAGGTCTGGATCAAAGGATATAACATTTAAAATTTCAGACAGCAAAGTATTCACCAAAAAGCTTGCCTAAATTTACACTTTTCATGGCTGCTGTGGGTATGCTTGCCTCTCTATGTTTCTGTGTGTGATTAACCGATGTGACAGGTGAGGAAGCCATATGCCTCTTATTGAGGGCAAATACCTTTTAAACTGTTTCTTGATATCTGTGTTCTGTGACCTCATCGATGTCCTTTGTCCACCTTTTTTTCTGTTGGTTGTGCCCCTTCTGTGTACTTACATATTATGGAAATATTATGGAAATTAGCACTTAGTCAAAGTTAGTTTTTTTCTCCAATCTGTTTGGTAATGTCCTCCTTGTGGGATGGCCTGTGCCTTAAACCCAGAATTAGATTTAATATTTAAGCCCTCAGTTTTTAAAACTTGCATTTGTTTTTTGGGGGGTTTTTTTGCCCAAACTTTTCATTTTCAGTTTTTCAAGTCTGTTTTAGGTGTGCCTTCTTCTATATAAAATATCTTGTTAGATTTCTTGGCTTTTTCTTTTTAAACCCAAATCAGCTTTTTAGCAGATGTTTGATATTAGCATCACTTACAAAAAAATAAAAATCTTTTGCTACATTGCCTGAGGTTTTAGCACATTTTTTTCTTCTACCTCTTCCCTTTTTTGACCTTTTGGAAAACAGGCTATGTGTCTTCTGGTGGTTACCTCTATCTTAAATAGAGAAGTGTAGGTTTGAGTTTATTAGCAGCTTTGGAAAGGAAAGCGTTTCCTGATTTCTGTGTACTAGTGAGAAAATGAAGAAATTAACACTGGACAAAGAAATAAGACAGGCACAACAACAAAAGAACAAAGAAACATAAGTAACATTTTAAAAAGAAATTAACACCCCTTTTTCTTTTCTTGTCCCCCCTTTTCAACATTTTTGTTGACACCTGGGATTTTCATCCCACTCTCCAGGCAAATTATTACTATAACATACAGTTTCAAGAATTATAAATATATTCTTGTGCCACCTGCCTGCTTTCCTGGCAGGAGTTTTGGTTATGAAGGTGATCATCAAAATTCCAGATGGTAAGGCTGTGCTGTGGGCATCTTTTGCTCACATGCCCTTGCTTTAATCTTGCCTAAGGAAGCGTGACCTCTGCCAGGTGTCACAGTTTAATGCCCGTTTCCCTACCATAGCACGCCTGTGTTCTTAGCTCTTATTTCTCCGAGAGCCCTCTGCATTTTGACATTGTGTCTTAAGATCAGAGGATGTGAATATCTTCAAAGTGATTCTCAGGTCTTTGGGCTCCATCAGCGCATCTGTCCCAAACTCCCACTAGCAGAGGAAAACAGTTACTGGATGTGCCCTTCTTCAAGGACACCAGCACTGCCCAGGTGCCCCTCACACAAAGAGAAACCTCCGTCTCCAGAGCATCTGCTCCCTGCACCCTGGTAATGTAGGATCCACATTTACCAGAACACGTGTTGAAAAGGAGGAAATGTGAGTTATTTGGACACTGTATTAAAGAAATGCCTCATTCAAGCACAGACTCTGGCTGTCTTAGCCCTTTCTAAATAGGAAAAACATGCCAATGGTGAGATTAAATTTATGGTAACCATATAATTTATTTTCGAAACCAGGATCTATTTCTGACAGAAAGGGAGGCATACTTTCGGATAGATTGAAAAGAAGAGCTAGGGGGTCTTTGGCTTTCAATATAATCTCAACCCTCTTAGCAAGGGAGGCTTAATTGAGTTCATTGGTGCCAGGAGCTACCAGGGCTCTTCCTGGATTGGTTGGCTCCTTGGAACAGCTGTACATCCTTAACAAAGACGGTTCCCAACAGGTACCTATGGAGAGGAGTCATAGAAACTTACACTGTCCCGGGAGAGCCAATAGGGTCTGGGTTAACCAGCCGAGATTCATTTGGGGAGTACTTCTGGAATTTACTTCTTTGATTGACTGGTTTGCTTTTCTATAGTCTCTGCATCTGCTTAAGCACCTATTGTCCTGGTCCTTATCTGAGCCATGGGCTTGGGGTATGATTAGAAGGCTACAGGGAGAATGTGCTCATGAAGATTTTGCAAGTTGTCATCTGGAAGGAAGGGCAGACCACCAGGTAGAGAGTTGGGCATTTATTTAATGCAGGGACTGTGGAGTCTGGATACCTGGGTCCCTGGTGTCTAGTTCATATTCGAGGCCCTGGGAGGCCAGTTAGTTCCCAGAAGCTTCAGAGAGCCCTGAGGTCTTTGTCAGGCATGTTCCTCCTTTATGATTTTTTTATTCTGTTGACTTCATCACATATTTTATAATTATAGTCCATCATTTTGACAGCTAATGTTTTCTTTAAAAGCATGTGTTGATAATAAACCTTTAGGAAAAAAATGTTTTTTCTTAACATCCTGATTTCCTTGTAGGAAAGCAGAGCTCTGGCAGAGAAGCAAGATGAAGACTCACTGGAAGGTAACAGAAACCCTATGTGGCCATGGTCGAAAACAAAACTAACCCATTCCAGGTTACTCATTACTCAGCTGGCTAGAAGCTGAGAGATTCTACTGAAAAATTCCTACGTAGGTCACATAAGCCATTTTCTTCAGCAGTTTGGTCTTGGGAAACTGCTTCTGTGGGAAGCTTGAGTAAAGCCACCTGTTTGGGTCTTTCTGAAGGACTAGGAAGTGGGGATGTTCCCAAACAATAAGACAGTAACTTGTTTTTAAGATCTGTTTCCTCCATAAATGTAAACTTTGGGATTAATTCTGCTTTATTTTTTTAAGATTTTATTTTATTTATTGATTTATCTTATTTATTTATTTATTTATTTGATAGAGAGAGTGAGAGAGCAAGCGAGCACACAAGCAGGGGGAGAGGCAGAGGAAGAGGGACAAGCAGGCTCCACACTGAGCAGGGAGTCTGACATGGGGCTCAATCCCAGAATCCCGAGCTGAAGGCAGACGCTTAACTGACTGAGTCACCCAGATGCCCCTTAATTTTGCTTTAATTTTGATTATTAAGGGGGAAAGTATCAGGTGATCACTGTGGCCTGGCCTCCTGGCTTCCGTCGGGGTTATTGGTTCCTGGAGGACCTCACAGGCCCTGTCTGTGGTGTCAGGCAGTGCTCCTTGGAGTTCTTGATCTGTTTTGGGTGAAAAGAACAAAGTGCATCTGCCCAGAGCAGGACCTGTTTCTGACTGTATCTTCTTCGAGGAAGGGAAGAAAGTGGCCTGTTTTACTTAAGTTAGGGGAACGAGAAGTGGAAGAGACAGGCAGAGATAAGACCATTGCCTACTTCTTATCACTTCCCCACCTCCAGGGCACCCCCACCAGACCAAACCCACCCACTGCCTTGTGACTTTGTAGCCCCAGTGACTAAGTCAGCAGGTTAACAGGTGCTCAATGTTCAAATGAAATCTTTAAATGCTGTGGGGTAGTTCTAGTTTTATTGAAATATATTTGGCTGACACATAAATAAAAGGTGCCTATTCCAGCTCTCGGGGATTTCATTCTGGTTAAAGCATGAGTCAAATCTCCCTGCTTTCATCAGTCCTGCAGACATTATAAAGATATAGAGGAAAACCTACAAAGAGTGTGCTTTCTGGATGCAGACTGCCAGAGTTCTAGTCTCACTTATGAGTTCTGTAATTCCAGACAAATTCATCTCCAGGGCATCAGCATCCCCATCTGTAAAATGGGATGTTAAAACAGACCTTGTAGAATGTGTGAGGACAATAGCTCTAAAGTGCTTTTAAGTGTTTTAACAGCATCTGGCAGGTAATAGCCACTTCAGCGGTTAGTGTAAGCTCTTTGTAGAGCTGGAGCAGCTCTGTCCAGGAGAAATGTGATTTGAAACACAAATCCACCCACGTAGACAGTTTTTAATTTTCTAGTAGCCATATTAAAAAAAACAAAAACTAAAACTAAAGAGATAGACAGATGAAATTAATTTCAATATTTGTAACCTAATATACCTAAAATATTTCACTTAAACATATAATGAATATGAAAATGAGATTTTTAAAAATCTTAATAGCAAGTGTTCAAAATGCAGTGTGTATTTATGTCACATCTCCATGAGGACTAGCCTCATTTCAAGTGCTCAGTAACCACATGTGGTGAGCGCCTACTGTGGTGGACAGCTTGGTCTCGAGAGCCCACAGGTTTAGGGAAGATGTAATTAGTTTGTCTTTTGTAGGTTTCTTTACCACTAGGGCCAACATCACTGGAAGGGCCTAGATCATTAATCTGGGGTTCATAGCTGACCACACTGTCTGTTTTCTAGGCCATAGATGACAGGACAGACAGTGGTCTGCTCATAAGCATGGTGGTGCTGACACCTTTCCTGCCACCAGGAACCTGCAGAGCCAGGAGCCTTTTAGCAAACAACTGCCCATAGCAGTGAAGGAAAGGACCCTGGGGCTTGACCTTAAGAAAGAATTTCACGGGACGCCTGGGTGGCTCAGTCAGTTAAGCATTGGACTCTTGATTTGGCTCAGGTCATGATCTCAGGGTTGTCCGATGGAGTCCTGCCTTCAGCTCCATGCTCAGTGGGGAGTCTGCTTCCCCCTCTCCCTCTACCGCTCCCCCTGCTTGAGCACTCTCTGTCTCTCTCTCAAAATAAATAATCTTAAAAAAATTTTTTTAGAAAGTCCAGGAAAAAAAAAACAATAGAAGCATCTAATTTTATGACCAGAAGCTCTCAAAGGAAATGTAATTCAAAAGGGATGGGAAGCTCTAAAGAATAAGAACGGACAGCATAGGGGCGCCTGGGTGGCTCAGTTGGTTAAGCGACTGCCTTCGGCTCAGGTCATGATCCTGGAGTCCCGGGATCGAGTCCCACATCGGGCTCCCTGCTCAGCAGGGAGTCTGCTTCTCCCTCTGACCCTGTTCCCTCTCGTGCTCTCTACCTCTCATTCTCTCTCTCAAATAAATAAATAAAATCTTTAAAAAAAAAAGAATTGGACAGCATAGTCATGAATGACTTCAGAGAAGAAAGTAGGAAGTAGCTCATGAAACATATATGATGCATTAGGCCTACTTGATGATCTTGGTTCTAAAATAAGTATAGAAGGACATTAGTCAGCTCAAGCTCAATAACAAAATGCCACGGACTGGGTGGCTTGAATAACAAAGTTATTTCTCATAGCTCTGGATACTGAGAAGTCCAAAATCAAGGTGCTAGCTGATTCAGTGCCTGGTGAGAGGTCTCTGCCTGGCTTGAAGATGGCCACCTTCTCATTATATCCTCACTGGGCAGGGGGAGAGAATGCACCAGCACTGGTATCCTTTTTTGTAAGGGCACTAATCCCATCAGACTAGGGCCCAACCCTCATGAGCTCAACCAACCCTAATTATCTCCCAAAGTCCCCATCTCCAAATACCATCACATTGGAAGTAAGTGTTTCAACCTATGAATTTGGGGGGGACACAAACATTTAGCCCATAATAGGCATACAAATACAAAGGAGTAGCATGATCCCATGTATTGGGAAGTAAAAAAAATTACAATCCTGAGTGAGCTAAGGCTTGCAAAAATTACAAAGGAAGAGAGGGCTTCTTTGGTTGCATTCAGTACCGGGAGAGAAAACAAGGGATGGCATTAAAAACCTTGGAAACCCAGCAACTTGGAAGTAATATCTAGGTCTGATGCTTTCATGATAACACCACCTCATCATAGGGTTCCAGGTTTTAAAGAAGAAAGACCAGGCCTCCCTCTGTTTCTGAATTAGTTGCTCTATATAGTTTGCATCATTTACATCAATCTGTTAATTAAGCAAATAAAGCAACATGTTTATTTCAAAGCCCCATCCTATGGGTTTGGTCTGGGCTCCATTGTACTGTGTCCACCCAGGTGTTCATGCTAGAAACTCTGGGCTCATCCTTGACCCTCCCTTTCTCTTTAGCCCCAAAGTGAGTCCATTTCCAAAAGAGTCAACTCCCAAACCTCTTTTGAGTTCATCCATCTCCTCCATCTCTTCCACCACAGAGATGCTCGTTGAGTCTGGTAGTGGTGCTTTTCCAGCTTTAATTTCTATTTTCAAATCTTATTGAAACATGCAATTTAAAAATTCTAACATGAAATGTCTGCAATATTTTCTTGCTCATTTTTTTTGAAACTCTGATTTTAAGCCATTGCCAATATGTGTCCTATAAAACATATTTTTATATGCATTAATTTGCTCCTGCAGATCCAAACCTTCATGTGAATATTGAGGAATTAAACAAAGAGTTTATGGTGAAAAGTGAGGAACTCTACGACTCTCTCATGAGTTGCCACTGGCAGCCTTTGGATACGGTTCACTCTGAAATCCCAGATGAGCCCCCAGAGAAGCATGATGTTCATTAAGCTACCCCACTGTTCTATTGATTGCCTCCTGTTTTGTTTTTGTTTTTGAAAAAAAAAAAATTCTCCCAGGAATGTACTGGATGCTATATGCAAATGCAGATCTCCAGGTCTTGACTGTGACTGACATGACAAAATGTGATGTAAATAAACTTTACCAGCACACCCATTTCTGGAAGTGTGTTATATTAAATAGATGCCAGAAGAGATCACATAACTATCATGGCGGACCAAGCTGAACTATAAGACATTTGAAAATAGGTCTAATAGGAAAATGGGCCTGATGTGAACTGGTTGGGGCATTAATGGATAGGTGTAAATATATAGAGTATGGTAGCACATAATCTGTCTTGATGGGAATTAATAGCCAGAAGTTGGCAGGTGAACGATGATCCTTTAAAGTTTGGGGCATCTTTTTAATGAAACTCAGCTTGGTGGGGCAATATATATCCTAACCTGCAGAAATTGAGAATATTTGATTAAGAAGGCCTAGATTTAGAATGAGAGAAGAATTGAGTGAAAGATAAAATGAAACTATCAACATAAATGTATATGTTGGAAAGGCTCCTGCCCTGTTGCTGGAATAGTCCACACTGCCTCTGATCTCCTGCTTATCACTATTAATCCTATGAAAGGATAAACATCCGGCTTAAACAGGATGTCTTTACATCCTCTATTACCAAATGGGACAAGGGTACAATGGGAGGTAGCGAATGCTGGGTTGTGGGGCAGAGAAGGCAAGAATGACCACATATCTCTATTGGAGATCACTGATTCTTCAGAATTTTCAGGTTAGCAATGATGGGGACAAATTCGAATGTGAGCAGAGGACTCCTCGTGATAGAAACCAGATAGTGGCAAATGCAGTATGAAAAGCAATGATTACTGCGAATTGGAACGAATGATAGCTGCAAAAAGGCCAGGAGCTCTCCAATCTAAACAAGAGAGAAATGGACAAAAACACAGGTGTTTACACTGTTGACATTGGTATAGTTGGATGCCTCTAGTAAATTTCTGGGTAACAGAGGTCATCTGTCACTGGTTGGTGTGGCCCTGTGAAGTCCTCAGACCTATTCAAGTCCTTCTGTTGAGAGTTAACAGGGATCTAATTGGTTGTGATAACCCCCATGAAGCCTATGTTGTGGATCATTGTGGGTCATAGATAATCAACAGTGACTTTGCAGTTCTGTTTGTGGTTCTTGGATCCATGCAAATGAGCACCCGAGAGCAAGGGCAGGAATTATTTCTGTGCTGCAAGCAGAGAGCTAAGAAAACCAAAGATGGAACCTTGTGCTCACCACTTACTGATGACAACTACTTGGAAAAATGTTTTAATTTCTGGTACTATGATGTTTTGCTGAAGAACAAGAGAACCAATGGGCCAATGAGATGGATCCCCAGTGTCTGATGAGGCAACTTTAGGATTGTGTGGACCTATGGAGCCTTGCTTCTGATCGAGTAGCCTTCCTGGAGATAAGGACTGGGAGGATTAGGCTCTTCCTTGTGATGGAAGTGCTGTGAGCTGACCGCAGGGTGGGCCTGTGGTAGTGTACATTGATTGTTGTAGGGTGCTTTGAGACCTAATGGTGTGCTTCAGTTTTCCTTGAGTGAACTCCATTGGTGTTTCAGCAGGAATCCGCAGGCCAGCAGGAGTCCTAGAGTTACTGAGATGTGACCTGTCTTAAAAACAAGAGGGAGAGGGGATGTGGCTGGCATCACTACTTCCTTTATCTGCTGTGCCTTCGGTAAACAGGCTTCTGCCTCAACAGTCTGCATGTTGTATAGTTGGCACTTGGTTTTGTCTGTCAGCCTATCTTTTCTAGGAAATGCTTTTCTGACTCAAATCTTGGGATTCTTCTTTTTTTTTTTAGATTTATTTATTTATTTGAGAGAGAGCAAAAGAGAGAGAGAGAGCATGCATTAGCGGGAGGGGCAGAGGGAGAAGAAGAAGGAATCTCAAGCAGACTCCATACCGAGCACAGAGCCCAATACAGGGCTCAGTCCCATGATCCTGAGATCATGACCTGAGCTGAAACCAAGAGTCAGATGCTTAACCAACGGCACTACTCAGGTGGTCTTCAAATCTTGGGATTCTGGTGAGGTCTTTTCTATCCTCAATGGCCCTTCTTCTTTTTTTTTTTAATTTTCTTTTTTTTATTATTAATATATAATGTATTATTTGTTTCAGGGGTACAGGTCTGTGATTCATCATTCTTACACAACACACAGCACTCACCACAACACATACCCTCCCTAATGTCCATCACTCAACCACCCTGTCCCTGCTCCAGCACCCCTCAGTTTATTTCCTGAGATTAAAGTCTCTTATGGTTTGTCTCCCTCTCTGGTTTCATCTTGTTTCATTTTTTCCTCTCTTCCCCTATGATCCTCTGCCTTGTTTCTTAAATTCCACATTTCAGTGAGATCATATGATAATTATCTTTCTCTGATTGACTTATTTCACTTAGCGTAATACCCTCTAGTTCCATCCATGTCATTGCACATGTTAAGATTTCAATTTTTGATGGCTGCGTAATATTCCATTGTGTGTGTGTGTGTGTGTGTGTGTATACACACACACACACACCACATCTTCTTTATCCATTCATCTGTGGATGGACATCTGGGCTCTTCCGTAGTTTGGCGATTGTGGACACTCAGTGACCCTTCTTCTTGATCACAGCTGATGACTGTTCTATTCCTGGGCTCTGATACAGCCTAAGCCACAGTACCTGCCTCAGTAGATTGGCCAGAGTGACCTCATGACCTAGTTGAACCCATCAAATCTTCGCTTAAATTTTTGAAGACACTTAGTCCTCTGGTGGTGAAGCTAGGAGAGATGAGGCCCAGGAGCTGCTGTAGCAATGTCTCCTATTCTGGGATAAAGTTAATTTACAGAGAGAAGCAGGTAGTTATGCTAGCAGGAGAGAGTCAGGTGGTGTGTACTCTCTAGTTTTTGATTTCTGTACCCTATCATTTTCAGGAATCATTAAGTTTCCAATACAATTCCCTTGTTGGTTCAGTTTCCCTCATTGCAACCCAATGTGTCCAAATTTAAATCAAGTTCTTAATTTGGTCATCCCATGTGGGTAGGTTAGAAAGACTTGAGTGGTGGTCTCCATTTTCTTCTGCTAGTTAACAACCTTGGAGGGCTGCATGTTCTGTCTTAAATTTTTCTCAGGGTAAACTCATCCACTCCTATTCCACTCTATGCATTCTGGGCAAGAAGCCCACATTTATGTTTGCAGCACAGACCTTTCTTTTGAGCTCCACATTACGTGTATCTTTATCTTACTGCTTACTTGATTATTCATCTTGCATGCCAAATAGGTGTTCCAAAATTACCAAATTTGTAATGGACTGTTCTTAGTTTTACCTCTATTAATAAATGCCATGTTCAATCAAGTAATGCTTGAGCCCCATGTACTTCCCCTGGAGGGATTTAGATGTGGGAGAGGGGAGATGGATAACTATATGAATTTACTGCTATTACTAGAGGGTAAGTTTTGGGTTCTCAACTCTAGAGAAAGGTAGAGATTTGGGTTGCAGGGTGGCAAAGCACCCACCCACACTAGTGAAGATCTGGCCCAGGTGGGGTGGTGGGAGCTGAACTTCCTGCAGTGGCTGCCCTCACAGGTGCTGGAATAGAACACTTTTGCAGCAGGGTTTAAAAAAAAAATTTTTTTTTTTGCTGGTAAAATACACATAATGTAAAATTTACTATCGTAACCATTTTTAAGTGTACAGTTCAGTGATATTAAGCACATTCATAATGATGTGCCACCATCACCACCATTTATCTCCAGAACTCTTTGAACCTGCAAAACTGACATTCTGTACCCAGTGAACAATACCTCCACATTTCCTACTCCTCCCAGCCCCCCAGAAACCATGGTTCTACTTTCTGTCTCTATGGATTTGCCTCTTTGGGGTATTTCATATAAATGGAATCATATAATATGTGATCTTTTGTGTCTGGCTTATTTCCCGTAGCATAATGTCCTCAGGGTCCATCCACGTTGTTGCAAATGGCAAGATCTCATTCTTTTTTATGGCTGAGAAATGTTCCATTGTTATGTATACACCAGAGTTTGTTTATCCCTTCATCCATCAATGGACACTTGGGTTGCTTCCATGTTTTGACCATTGCAAATAATGCTGATATGAATGCAGCAGGTTCTGAAGGCTGGGGGTTACATCCTGTTACCAGGGCGTCTTGTACACAGAAGCCTGAACTCCAAGTAATAGGGCTTTTGGCACTCAGTGTTCTTAGCTCACTAGCACATTCCCCAAGGTGCCATCTGGCCAGGCAGGACAAAGACCACTGCCACCTCAAAAGCCAGTCTTTCTCCTTGTTAACCAATGCTTCCGCTAAGAAGTGAGACCAATTTTCACAAAGCTCACAAAATTCAAGGGGTTTGGTTGCACCTTTCTCCTAGGAGAACAATGCTCTTGGCCTATAATTCCATGCATGTTTAATCCTTTAATGATTTTTGGCACAAGAAGGATCTTGCTTAGCTTTACGGTGACTTTCTACATATGAAATAGCTGGACCCTCCTCTCAGAAAGATGGGGAAAGGTACTTAGTTTTATCTCCTTCACTGGGGCAACGCACAAAATGCGTAAGGACTTTGATTAAATGGATTAGATTGGTAGTTAAGCACCAGGAAACAGCCACTTGCGACGAGGTGCCAAGTGCAGAAGATTGAACTTTGTTCCAATGTCATCTGCCTTCAGAGTGACTTGAGGATATTCTTACTGCAAGTTCACAGACTGGCCATAGATCTGCAATATGTTTTAGGCAAGATCTAGGATGAAAATAGGGCACATATTCCAAAATGAGAGTTATTGGTTTTCCTATTGCAGTATACTCATATTTGTGGTATATTCTTATTTGTAGGATATTCTTTAAAGTAGCTCATAATTTAGGAGCAAATACCAATCTGGTTCCACTGGGACTTCAGTATGATTTAGGGCTCTCTCATGAATTCTCAATTCTAGGC